AATATTTAGTGGATTATGAAGAACTCAAAATTAGAACATCCCACCCCAATCCTCATCATCAAACAGAAATACAGAATTAGTAAAGGATATATATATATATAGTAAAGGTGTGTGTGTGTATGTGTGTGCGCAGAAGTTATCCAGCTCCTCCACCCCACCCCCAGCTTCCTCATCTCTGGTTGCTGTCAAAGTCTTACATTTTGTAAAAGAATAGACAGAGCATCAGAAGGCTCTTTATCCTGATGTTTTAGAGCACGATAAGCATTCAGTATCTTAATATAAGTAAAATACACTGTATCTTACATCTCCTATTGCTATAACTGACCCTAAGGCTTTGCTGGGAGTGTATAAGTGCAGATGGGGGTATTATTCTATATGAAAAATTAGAAAAGTCTCTCAGGTGATGCCTGAACAAGACCTGAGAGAAATGGAGGAAGAAACCATGGGGAAGAGGGAGCATGGCTGAGTAATGCCCTCAAGCAACATTTCTGCAGGGCACATACGCCTGCAAGGCTCCAAGAGGCTGTCGCAACCTTTGTTGGTCACTGGTGCAGAGCTCTGCCTGACTATTAACTATGGTTTCTGAAAATCCATTGTCCCTGGCATCCTTATTCAGGCGTCCACAAAAATTTTGGTTTGTTGTTATTATAGCACAGCCTCTAATCTCCTGAGAAGTGCATGGATTTTGGTGATGATTTTGAATAGAATCTTAACATGCCAAGGAAGGTCAATTAACTTTTCTAGTTTTAATTTACTAATTAGTAATAATTGAGAGCTAAATTAATAACCTGTGAGCATGTGTCTACTAAAAATGATAGAATATTGGGAATCTGTGAGTCAAAGAAATGTTCTGAGAAAAATGTAGTGTGACAGCAGATGTGCTGGGGGCTGTTTAGGGTAGAAACCTGCCACCTGTCACCAGCAAGGAACTGCTTTCCTAAAATTTGAGTTTGGAAATGTCGGAAAGATATGAAGTCATGCTACTTTTTTTGGGGGGGGTGCTGGATAGTTATTACTCAGAATTATCCTGACATGTTACTAAATCTAACTAGTTTGACAGTATAATTTTAAAAAATATTTTATTTATTTATTTTACATGTATGAGTGTATCACCTGCATGTATGTAAGTGTACCCATGTCATGCAATGCCAGGGGAAGTCAGAAGAGGGCATTAGATGCTCTGGAAATGGAGTTACAGATGGTTGTTAGCTGCCAGGTGGGTGCTCGGAAACCAAGCCTGGGCCCTCTGCAAAAGCATCCAGTGCTCTTGACTGCTGAGCCATCTCTCCAGTCCCTTGACTTAGCATAATTTTTATGAACGTCTTACTGTAGTGCTGATAGAAGAATAGCAAATAACAGATATGATCTTTTTTTTTTTTTAGAAGTAGTTCGAGGCATTCCTACACATGCACACACGCATGCATTCACACACACCGTTGTCTGTGCAGACACAGTCAATCCATTTCTCTTCCCTTTTTTGACCCTCCCTCCCTCCCTTCTTTCTCCACAGGAGATGGTGCAATTTTTCCAACTTTACTAATGAAGAAACAGAAGCTTCTGAGAAATAAAATACCTTTTCACCAAATGGCAGTGTTTGGATCAAATTCCAGTTTTTCCAGGGTCAAAAATACAAGTTCTTAATCTCTAAACTATATTTGGTCTCAGATTGCAAACTTTTAAATGGAGGAAAACTGTGCATCGAAGTTTCGATCTGTTCTCTTTCAGGTGTGATGTACTTGATTTAATTCACCAAATTCCTCCTTAATTATAATTTTTGTCACATATTGGTTTCTACAAAATTACTTATATTCTCTGTTTCAGAGTTATACAATGTCAAGTATTTTTTTTTACTTTACTATTTTATCCATGTATATCTTTTTTCCAAAATATTTCATTTATTATTTTTATTTTATGTGTATGAGTGTATTGCCTGCATGTATGTGAGTGCATCCGTGTTATGCAATGCCGCAGAGGCAAGAAGAGGGCTTCGGATTCCCCTGGAACTGGAGTTAAGGACAGTTCATAGCCACCATGTGGGTGCTGGGAATCAAACCCGGGTCCTCTGTAAGAGCAGTCAGTGCTCTTAACTGCTGAGCCATCTCTCTAGCCCCCATCCATGTATATCTTTAAGCATTAATTTATATGTAAAATATGTACCTATTACCATTTGTTATTCTGCCAATATTTTAAGTTCTTAACTAAAATAAAAAATCAAACCAGTGTTAAACTATAAACAGCACAGATTTCTGTCCTCCTGGGAAAGGCATGCCATTTCACAGTTTTACCTTTTACTATAGAAAATTAGGCAACACAGAAAGAACTATTCCTAATAATACTTCCTGTTCTTTCAAATCTATTTCTGTTTCTTTTCTTATAACTCGATGTATCTTTGCTAATTTTATTCACCTTGTCTTCTTTTCCTACCTGTCGTATAACATCTTTCTTTAAAAAGTCAGTTCTGATGAGGCTTTCTGCTTCCTTGGGATAGATGGGGAAGTCTAGCCTAAATGTCATTCCTTTTCTTTTGTTTCTTACTTTACTACTTTTGATAATCTACCAATATGTTCATGTACTGTTATGATCATATCTCAGATATCACACTTTACACATCATTAGATACCAGATGAAACTAACAAGGCTGTTTTAGGAAAGTAATGCGTTTTAGCCTTCGGTGTGCTTATATCACTTTCATTTATTGCTAATTGATCATTAACAAAAGAGACAAGGTATCCTAAAATTTCTCTTCCAAGCCTACCTAGGATCCTAGTGAGTTACATGATGCATGGTTCTGTAGTAGCAAGAATGCATTCAATTAAACACTGCCATGTTGTAACTTGTAACCCCGGTCACTGTCTGGATCCTCTCTGCCTCTCTTCCTATGGCCCTGAGTTACCCAACACGCCCACAGCTCCAGACTCGACACTTCTGTTGTCCCCTTCCTATGATATACTGTCTTGATTGCTGCATCTGTGTTGCTTGGACAAGTCCTTCCCCCATTTCCCAAGGATGGAACTCTTCACGGTACACAAGCCCCACAACAGTATTTGGCTCTGGTGATACATGACTGAACACTTGTAATGTTTCAGTTTATTCTGTTTTTAGGTTGTTAGATCTTGAAGAGAAGACTGACTCCTTCCTAAAGTCTCAAGTGCTCTAGAGCAGAGAACATACTAAACAGTTACTTCATTTACTCACCATGTTCAATGTTTTTATTAGTTTTCCTCAATTTTTTTCATAGATCTGGAGATACATTTAAATATGAGACTGTCCTAAAGTTGCTAGCTTTAGAAAATATAGAGGATTCCAGGTCAAGTAGAAATTTAACATTAGCTTTTAGCATGAATGTATCCAATGTAATAATTGAGATATAATTATTAAATTATTATCTATTTCAAAAATGTATAATTCAAATTCAACTCAGTTCTAGATTGCTCGGACCTACGCCCACAACAGTAGCCAAAACCTTGTACTTATTTTTCTAAATAACAAAATACGTTTATATTTTGCTTAAGCTTTCATAATTTCACCAATCAAGCCTTGAATTGCCTGAAGTTCTCGGCACTGTTCAGCACTCAGTGACAACAAGCAGACGGTGTCCACTGTGAACGTTTTTGAAGTACACATGAACATTTCCTAAATTTGAAAGATTTTAGAAGCACCACAATTCATTCTAAGTAAAAGCACTGTTCAGAAATCATTTTGATCAGCACATTGAAATGTTTAATGAACTCTTTTGTTTGAGGAATGACCTCCTAAATGTGTGAGACCCTCACAAGTAAATGACACACACTCACTGCTCAAAGTAGTGATATACATATATATATATACATACATATACATGGTATATATGATATATATGATATATAGGACCCTCTGACCTTGAATTGAACTTCTTTGCTGTGTGACTTTGGTTTACTTTCATTGTTCCTTTTCATTTAGTAGAAAATAAAGTCACAGGAGACCTGGTATTCCTTATAATGGCAGTGCATGTATGTAAAGTTCACTACTTAAAATTTTTAGTAAACTATTTTTACATGCCACAAAGTCAGTATTTTCTGTTTTTGCCCATGTTACATAAGCACTCTACTATTAGTCTAATCCATACCCACAGCCCCTCATTACATTTTCATTATATTAACTGTGTATAAAATATATCTTAAAATGGAGAGTTTAACATTTTAAAACATCACTTTAACATATAACAATATAACATGTTTAGTTTTTAAATAGTGTCATAGTCATTTCATAGTTTCCTCTCTTCCAAATATAAAACTCTATTTCCTTCCTATCTATCTATCTATCTATCTATCTATCTATCTATCTATCTCTCTCTC